AGGTATGCCGACTAGACTGAAAGGTACATTTTATAGGACATCAGTTAGGTCTGCATTACTCTATAGTGTAAAGTGTTGGGCGGTGAAACAATGTCACATTCAAAAGATGATTGTGACAGAGATGCGCATGTTACGTTGGATGTGTGGACATACTAGAAAAGACGGCTTGAGGAATGAGACAATTAGACAAAAGATGGGAGCAACACCTATTGAAGATAAGATGTGAGAGTCTCGCTTGCGGTGGTTTGATGATGTGTGTAGAAGACCGAGTGATGTACCTCTCAAACGAGTTGAGAGGTGTGGAGAAATGGCGGGGAAGAGAGGGAGAGGAAGATCCAAATAGACGTGGATTAGAGGAGACGGGAGTGATATGCTTCTTGGGTTCGAGAGCCAATTTGACAGTTTTCCCTAGTTTTTAATATAGTTAAAATCAAGTACTATGTATGATTTAATTTATTAAAATCCATCCTGGTTTGAGGGGAGTTGGCCCTTGGATAACTCATAAATGGGCTCTGACAAACTTTTATTATTTTGTTACCATTATTAACGGATTGGAGCTTCACCATCATTTGCAACGGAGTCAAAGACTCACTATTTTGAAGAAATGACACGGATGATACATCCGAGTTTTAGAAGGACAAATATAGGACTAGGTTGTGATCCGGACAAAAAAGAGATTAAAAATTAATGTATAGACCAAAGTACCCCGGATTTAAATACATTAAATTAACACCACAGCAGCTCCTCTATCCTCCTGGCCTCTTGGCAGTCTGCATCGCAATTTCAATTTATTTGCTCCCAAAGCTCGCACCAGCGCCTCCATGGCGACAAACCTTCACCGAGGAGTTCACTGCCGCGGAGATATGTGACAACCTCCTTGGCGGCGGCAACATGCAACCTCCTTGGCATCAACGACTGGAGACCTCCATGGCGGCGGCGACAGGCGACCTCCATGGCGGCGGTGAGAGGTGACCTCCATAGCGATGGAGATAGTCATCTTCGACGGTAGTAAGAGATCTATTCTGCGGCGGCGTTTCCTTTTGGGATCGAGCGGCAACAAGGATTTCGAACCACCACGGTGGGTATGGCCTGGTAGTGGGCGGCGAGCCGGTGACGACCACTACGGTTTTAGGGCGGACCATGGCGGCAGTGGCAAATGGAGGTGGCTAGGGTCTCTGGGTTGGTATATGCGGTGTCAAGTGCTCGGGGAGGAGCTAGAGATGGAGGTAGGATAGGAGGGATGGAGGGGTGGGGATGCGGGAGGCTAACGGTGGGAGAGGAGCAGGGTTGGTGGTTGGTTACTGGAGGATGGCGGGGCTACTGACAGATCATTGACCGACTGTAGGTGACGATTTGCCATTGGAGTACAGCGGCGATGGCTGCCGCCTGCCGGTGGTGATGTCCGGCGGTGGTGGTCAGGTCCGGAGATGGTGGTCGGAGGTGGTTTTTGGTGCTATTGGTGGTGGATAGGTGTGGTGGTCATTGTTAATGGTTGGAGTGGGTGAATTTAATTGGTCTCTGATAACTATAACTCATAGGTAACTGTAACTGGCGGATTGGATAATTATAATTGACAGATCACGTCATAACTAGCGGGTCAAGTCACTGTTGGTCACTGGACGGGCGGACATAGGTCACTGGACGGGTCGTTGTTGGTCACTGAACGGCAGGACGTTGGCCACTGGACGTGCGGACGTTGGTCACTAGACGGACGTAAGTTGGTCACTGGACGGTCGGACGGACAAACGTTGGTCACTGCATGGGCGGATGTTGGTCACTAGGTGGAAGTCATTGTGCTATTGGACGAATTTTTTGTCACTAAAGATTTTGGTCACTGGCAGATTTTGGATTTTTGGTCACTGACGGATTTTGGATTTTTGGTCATTACACATTTCTGGTCACTGACGGATTTTGGTCACTATAGTGTTACTGGTCACTATGACGTTACTGTAGTACTTATTGGGTAGGATTATATTAATATAAGGGTATAATGGCATCTTTAACTCTCTTTAGTCCTATTTTTGGAAATTGAGAAAAAGGTCACTTTTATGTCCATAGCTCTTTTTTTAGTAATTAGACATAACCCCCACTATTTTTTTGGCTTGAGAATATGGTGGAATAAAGTAAAATGGCTCACTGAACTGTCTGCGCTTCTTTGTTATGAAGCAGTGGTCAGTAATTTTGGACGCGATGTTCATTATGGGTCATTCGGAAACAGTCTCCATGCTTTAGTACATGGGTAAGACTGTGTACATCCGACCCCCCCTTACCCCACCATAGGTGGGAGCCTTCGCGGCAATGGGATGATGATGATGATGATGATTAACAGATTAGAGTTACGGCTTAGCAATAACTATCTCATCTTATTTTTATGTTCTTATCCTGGCCAAGTTTCTCTTTGGGTCTTTAAGGGTCTGCTCTGAAAAGCAGAAAATGCTAGGTAAAGAAAGTAGAGGGAAATTAGATCGAAAGACAAAATAAAAGTTAGATTATAACTCGAGAAATCTACGTTCTAGATATTTGATCAAACTCGTATTATTTATTTATACTATACAAAGACTAAGAAGTCTAATATACCAGTATATATAAGAAACTAATATAATTATGGTAGTTCGATCAAATAATTTATCTTCCATTTTAAGGTTGGCAAAAAGTTCTTTTCAAGATTTCATGCCTCACTTGCAATTTTGAATGTTTTATCATCTTAAATGTGTTAGCTAAGTCTCTTATGCTTAGAAACTCTAAAGATAATGCTATTTAAGATTTAATGATCTTGAACATCTTACTTTTCTTGGTCGATTGTTCTTCTTCCATTGCTTTTTTTTTTTTTTGAATAGAAAATGTATTTTATTAATAAAAGTAAACAATACAATGCAAGAGAGGAAATAAAAAAAGGCATTACAATGAAAGAAAAATAAAAGAAGAAAAACAAGCTAAACCTAAGGGAAATCTTTGGACTGAAACCTAGTCCTCATGCTGTGACACCTTTTATTTTTCCGAGATTTCTTGTAAATTTTAGGTTGTGTGTTTAAATTGTCCGTTGGTATGCAATTTTCCATTTCTTGTCACAACTCAAACTTAGGCTATGTTTGGTATGATGTAATGCATTGAAATGTAATGAAGTGCGTAATGCAATACAAAATGCAATGTAATGGAATGAAGTCTTTATTCCATTACCATGTTTGATTACTTTAGTAATAACAACTAGGGAAAACTATCAAATAAGCCCTCATACTATGCTGAAAAAGTCGATTAGACCCTCGTACTTTACAAACACTCAATTAAGTCCTTGAACTATTAAAAAACATTCAATTAAGCCTTTTTCGGTCGGTAAGTAACCGGTTTCCCGATTAAACGGTGACGACGACGACGATGTGCTCGAACCCCAGCAACGGCGGCTGCCGGGAAACGGGTTACATTTAACCGGGAAACCGGTTACTTACCGACCGAAAGGGCTTAATTGAACATTTTTTAATAGTTCGAGGGCTTAATTGAGTGTTTGTAAAGTACGAGGGACTAATCGACTTTTTCGATATAGTAGAGGGACTTATTTGATAGTTTTCCCTAACAACTATGAAATGTAATCAACATTACATAATTGCGTTTGACAAATAATAACCATAGTAAGATGCTTATTGGATTATAAAATAAACTAATTATATTTTAATAAACAAAATAAAGAAAGCAAATTCATTTTACTAATTTGTAATATACTCCATAGGTAAACAATTAAGGGATGAATAAGAAATAAACTGATATTATGCTTAAGAAGCAAACGAAGAATAGAGTGCACAAGTGGAGGCCAACCATCGACACGGTACAAGGCATACTTGTCACGGCGGTAAGTCGAGTCGCGGCACCAGCCGACCGCCATATCGCCTAGGCGATAAGGCGTCCGCCTACGCGACAATTAGGCGACTAGTCGCCTATATATGTATAATATATCATATACTCCGTATATAATTATAAACTTATATATAATTATATATATAATAGATTAATTGTTTTATAGTTTATTATTAAACTAATACGAGCATATTAGTATACCACCATACACCAGTCCAGCACTTTATTATATAGCATATAATAAATAATAAATTAACTGTTTTATAGGTTAATATTAAACTAATAGTCTATAAATTAATAAATTAATGCGCAGTGTAGAAGTATTATAGTATACATATACGCATAAATTGATATACATATATGTAATGACGGACTGGGGGATGGCGACTGAAGAGATCAGTTACTTCTGCTTCCTGAAGTTGTACGGTATGTCGCTGCGCTTGGTCCTGTGAGTTGTTCTCTACGACTCTGCTTCTAGATTTGGGCTTTGTTTTTAATTAAAAGCCTAAAGCCTGAAATCCTTAATTAAGTGAGTTTCCTAAAAAAATTAAACCTTAATCTACTCATTTTTGGGCGTGCGAAACACGGACGGCTTTTCGACTGGGCAAAAGTAGGCAGCGACTTGTCGCCAAACTTCACGCCTAGACGACGCCTCGACGACGCCAACCTCAATTATTCTTCTCCCGGCGAGGCGAGATTACCCGACGAGTACTCTCCAGCCTGGACGCCTAGTCGGCGCCTAGGCGACGCCGTGACAACCATGGTACGAGGTGCCGGAAGTAATCTCAAATACACACATTTTCTAATGTAAAGCTGATTACACATATAAAGCTAAGGAATTCCACATATGTATTTCTCATTACATTACGGTTTAAAACAAAATGACATACCAAACATCGTATTTGAATTAACATGTAATGTTCATAGCATTACATGGTTGATTACGGCCCAAAAATTTTCATTCACTTTTACTTGCTCTACTTTCTTCTTACCGAAACATATTGTTACTAGCTCGACTTTCTATTTTTGGCAAATCATATCAAGACATTAATATGTTCTTCCGTCTTCTCTCCCCTATTTTCTTGTACAGTATTATTAACCACCCCAACAAATTTATAGGCCTACTGAAGCGAGTGAAATTTAATGATTCACAGGTTTTGGAAAACATGAGTTCTCATAAAATAAAACCTCTTGTAGCATTAAATGGTACGGCTAAAGAAGCTGGCATTGGACCAGGCATTGGTTTAGTTGACATAGGCGACAGCGAGTGTGCCTACCTTTTCCAAGTTTCTCTTCCCGGAGTTAGGGATAAAGGTTAGTTCTTCACTTTTTCTTCCTATTCAACACAATATATGTTCATCCAACACTAGTTAGTACTGTGCTTAATTCATTTCCACAGTACGTATTCAGAACGTGAAATTTAAAACAGTATCATCATATCATCCTACTAGTCAGTCTACTACTACTCCTCCTATACAGGAAATTTAAAATGCGACATACAGAGAGATGGGAAAGTGAACATAGAAGGTGTGATAACAGAGTCTCATCAACTTTTAAGAAACTCGTCTGCGGGGCTGTATCAGGTGAACGTTCAAGAGCTTTGTCCGCCCGGACCCTTTAGTGTGTCGTTCAGTTTGCCCGGGCCGGTGGATCCCAGGCTGTGCTTTCCAACTTTCAGACAAGACGGTATCCTGGAAGTCGTAGTAGTCAAGTTTGGTTTGCCTCACCACCTTGAAGGTGAAGGCGGCAGCTTGTCAGCAAATTGGTCAAATGGATGGTTTCAACCGTCTTGACTGAATATTAGGGTCAGTGAATGATAGATGCCTCTGGCTGCAGTTACCTTTTGTACATTTCATGAAGAAAGTAATTATATATAGACTCTAAGTTCATCACCACTATGTTTGATGTATACATGCAGCCATGCATCTTGTTCTGAAACTACTTTTTAAACATAAGATTTTTAAGCCTGGCGGTGATTACCACACTAATTGTGCAATGCTAATTTCCTACCTTTGTGTTTTGTTGTGTTTTGCTTTGCCTAAATGTGTATGCTTTTGTATCTACGTGTACATACGTGGCATAAAAAGTAGGGGTGAGCATGGGACGGTACGGGACGGTTATTTCAAAAAACTAGTCCCGTCCCAAAGTACGATTCTTTTAAAAATCAAGAACCAGTACAGTCCCGCATATATTTAGAACTTGTCCCGTTCCGTACCAATTTCCAGTACAGTTCGGTACGGTTCGGTACGGTTCTCCGGTGTTATTTGGTTCCTAAATAAGTGACCCCCATGAAATATAATTAACCCTATTTACGTAGCATTGTTTATACGTATCACTTAGTATTGTTTTTGTTTTAAAGCTAACTTTTAGTGCTGTCGACTGTCAAGTCTTAATAATTGGATTACGTCCAAAGAATATGCAAGATTGCATATATTTGTAATATATGGACATATAGTCACTAACATTTATACTCAGTAATATTATATATACCCACACACACACACACAGCAATTCGGGTCCGGCCATGCCGGACCACTTCCCTGTCCGGCCACCTCAATTTGAGGTGGTTCCCGGTGGTATTTTTGGTCCAAATTTTTTGTGTATGTTCTTCATAAAGTCTAGTTCGTCCATACCAAATTTGAGCAAAAACTTCAATCGGGAAGGTTGTCAAATGATTTTTTCAAGTTAACTAGTCCGGAATTTGTAAATTCCGGACCAGTTAACTTGAAAAAATCATTTGACGACCTTCCCGATTGAATTTTTTGCTCAAATTTGGTATGGATGAACTAGACTTGATGAGGAAGATACACAAAAAATTTGAGCAAAAAATACCACCGAGAAGGCCCCCAAATGGAGGAGGCCGGACGGGGCTCCTGTCCGGAAATTCCGGACAGGAAGAGCTCTCTCTCTCTCTCTCTCTCTCTATATATATATATATATATATATATATATATATATATATATATATATATATATATATAGATTAAGGATCAAGTGAGAAAGACATCTTGGGAGAGAAAAGAGAACCATTTGTGACCATTAGATGTAATCTCAAACAACATTGCACGTAGGGATGGCATTGGAATTTCACTTTCAATAGCATTAAATGGTAAGCTACTAACGTTTCTTTCCTTTTTTATTTTAGGATGTATCATTATTGAAATGAAATTAATGAAACTCTCTTATACATAGCGTGTTTAAATTCCCCCTTAAATCAATCTTTGAGTATTTTCTAATTACATCACATTTGGGTGTAAAAATAATCCGATCAGATCTGCATTTTATTTTTAATTATATCACTATTTTGATTAATTTTCTCAATAAAATTTATTGCAACATAGAGTACGATGAGTGCATTTCATTTTCTACTGAAATTCGTGCACTTATGACAATCTTTCATTGCACACTTGTGTATACAATCTATGCTTTTGTTCCGATTCATTGCACACTTTTCATATACTCCCTCACTCCCATTTTATAAGATATTTTTTCTATTCATTTGGTCAATATAAATCACTCTTACTCTCTAACTTTATACTTGGTATGTCAATTTTTTTTATCAAATTTAATTCTGATTTTTGCAACTTTGTACAACTTTTAATGTAGTTTCTATATGTAATTCTATTTTTTGAAAAATAATTTGAGTGCGAATAGGGATCTGTTTGCTTTATCGTCTGTCAAACTTCGTAAACTGTAAAATATCTTACAAGTCGGGACGAAGGGAGTACAATTTATTCCATCTTTTCATTCTTAGTTTTAGCATTTTCAATTTATGCTTTTGTATTTGTGTGAATGCATCTTTCATGTTTTTATGATAGTTGTGCACAAATGTATGAGATTAATTTCTAAATAAACACATCCATAAAAAAATGCATTTTAATGAGATAAGATTTGCAGATAAAGGTGCATGTTAATGAGAATGAGATAAAAAGTGTTATATACAAAAGTGCATCAAATTGTTCATATTTTTGTATATATATTTTTTGTTCGCAAAAAAGTACACGTTAATGTTACTTGATACACTTATATGCTCATACACATTGCACTTCTACATTATTCATGTGTTGTGCACTACATTAATACCTGAAAGTGCAATATTTTTGTATATGGAACATGTTCCATTAATTTTAAATGTAGAAAATGTATAAACTATAAAGTGCAAAACTCTTCAAGGATGAGTGCATGTTCTTAAAACTTGAAACACATTCATTTTTTCTAACGATTTATTTATTTATTTATTTATTTATTTATTTATTTATTTATTTATTTATTTATTTATTTATTTATTTATTTATTCATTCATTCATTCATTCATTCATTCATTCATTCATTCATTCATTCATTCATTCATTCATTCATTCATTCATTCATTCATTCATTCATTCATTCATTCATTCATTCATTCATTCATTCATTCATTCATTCATTCATTCATTCATTCATTCATTCATTCATTCATTCATTCATTCATTCATTCATTCATTCATTCATTCATTCATTCATTCATTCATTCATTCATTCATTCATTCATTCATTCATTCATTCATTCATTCATTCATTCATTCATTCATTCATTCATTCATTCATTCATTCATTCATTCATTCATTCATTCATTCATTCATTCATTCATTCATTCATTCATTCATTCATTCATTCATTCATTCATTCATTCATTCATTCATTCATTCATTCATTCATTCATTCATTCATTCATTCATTCATTCATTCATTCATTCATTCATTCATTCATTCATTCATTCATTCATTCATTCATTCATTCATTCATTCATTCATTCATTCATTCATTCATTCATTCATTCATTCATTCATTCATTCATTCATTCATTCATTCATTCATTCATTCATTCATTCATTCATTCATTCATTCATTCATTCATTCATTCATTCATTCATTCATTCATTCATTCATTCATTCATTCATTCATTCATTCATTCATTCATTCATTCATTCATTCATTCATTCATTCATTCATTCATTCATTCATTCATTCATTCATTCATTCATTCATTCATTCATTCATTCATTCATTCATTCATTCATTCATTCATTCATTCATTCATTCATTCATTCATTCATTCATTCATTCATTCATTCATTCATTCATTCATTCATTCATTCATTCATTCATTCATTCATTCATTCATTCATTCATTCATTCATTCATTCATTCATTCATTCATTCATTCATTCATTCATTCATTCATTCATTCATTCATTCATTCATTCATTCATTCATTCATTCATTCATTCATTCATTCATTCATTCATTCATTCATTCATTCATTCATTCATTCATTCATTCATTCATTCATTCATTCATTCATTCATTCATTCATTCATTCATTCATTCATTCATTCATTCATTCATTCATTCATTCATTCATTCATTCATTCATTCATTCATTCATTCATTCATTCATTCATTCATTCATTCATTCATTCATTCATTCATTCATTCATTCATTCATTCATTCATTCATTCATTCATTCATTCATTCATTCATTCATTCATTCATTCATTCATTCATTCATTCATTCATTCATTCATTCATTCATTCATTCATTCATTCATTCATTCATTCATTCATTCATTCATTCATTCATTCATTCATTCATTCATTCATTCATTCATTCATTCATTCATTCATTCATTCATTCATTCATTCATTCATTCATTCATTCATTCATTCATTCATTCATTCATTCATTCATTCATTCATTCATTCATTCATTCATTCATTCATTCATTCATTCATTCATTCATTCATTCATTCATTCATTCATTCATTCATTCATTCATTCATTCATTCATTCATTCATTCATTCATTCATTCATTCATTCATTCATTCATTCATTCATTCATTCATTCATTCATTCATTCATTCATTCATTCATTCATTCATTCATTCATTCATTCATTCATTCATTCATTCATTCATTCATTCATTCATTCATTCATTCATTCATTCATTCATTCATTCATTCATTCATTCATTCATTCATTCATTCATTCATTCATTCATTCATTCATTCATTCATTCATTCATTCATTCATTCATTCATTCATTCATTCATTCATTCATTCATTCATTCATTCATTCATTCATTCATTCATTCATTCATTCATTCATTCATTCATTCATTCATTCATTCATTCATTCATTCATTCATTCATTCATTCATTCATTCATTCATTCATTCATTCATTCATTCATTCATTCATTCATTCATTCATTCATTCATTCATTCATTCATTCATTCATTCATTCATTCATTCATTCATTCATTCATTCATTCATTCATTCATTCATTCATTCATTCATTCATTCATTCATTCATTCATTCATTCATTCATTCATTCATTCATTCATTCATTCATTCATTCATTCATTCATTCATTCATTCATTCATTCATTCATTCATTCATTCATTCATTCATTCATTCATTCATTCATTCATTCATTCATTCATTCATTCATTCATTCATTCATTCATTCATTCATTCATTCATTCATTCATTCATTCATTCATTCATTCATTCATTCATTCATTCATTCATTCATTCATTCATTCATTCATTCATTCATTCATTCATTCATTCATTCATTCATTCATTCATTCATTCATTCATTCATTCATTCATTCATTCATTCATTCATTCATTCATTCATTCATTCATTCATTCATTCATTCATTCATTCATTCATTCATTCATTCATTCATTCATTCATTCATTCATTCATTCATTCATTCATTCATTCATTCATTCATTCATTCATTCATTCATTCATTCATTCATTCATTCATTCATTCATTCATTCATTCATTCATTCATTCATTCATTCATTCATTCATTCATTCATTCATTCATTCATTCATTCATTCATTCATTCATTCATTCATTCATTCATTCATTCATTCATTCATTCATTCATTCATTCATTCATTCATTCATTCATTCATTCATTCATTCATTCATTCATTCATTCATTCATTCATTCATTCATTCATTCATTCATT